AACTACAGTGCCTGGCAGAAAGGTGCAAAATATTTATATCTGGGCCTAGCGAAGTTTTCCTTGGCTTCCCAACCCAGGTTGATTATACCCATGTTTGTGGACACTGCTCTTTTCTTTCTCCCTCCCTGTTTGGCTACATACCTGTCCCTCTCCACTGCTCCCATCGCATTAGACTAAGAGAAGAATCAGACACGATCGGTACCAAAGAGGTCATCGGCAAATTCCAAAATTTGTTAAAATTTTTGTAAAAATTAGTTGAAAAAGTAACAGGAAAGAGAGGCAGGGTGAGTACATTTTGCATTCATCTCCCAGGGTTTGCAGCGTTGCTCAGCTTCATGACGAAATGGGAGATGCACTATTTCACTGACCATGAAATAGAAAGTTTCAAACTCCTGTTGTAAAGACAATTACAAAATAGACGCCCCTCAATCCCATTCCCCATTTACTGTTTTTGAAAAATAGCATTAATTTACAAATGTGCTGTTCCTAATCAGTCACATGGAAAACCATCCTGCCTTCACATTTATCCTTTTCCCTTATATTCCCCGCAGAAACCGTTGTGCTTAGGGAAAAAGGTCTTAAAACAATTCCATTCTATTACTTTCAGAAGCGTATACTGAGTTTACAGTTTTGACAGTGTAATTGTCTGTCCCTGAGCCTATGGCCTCTTTTGCTAAAGAGCGGGAGGAGAAATCTTATCTTGACCAAAAAGTAAACAATATCAGGCAATAGTAGAAGGAAAGATAAATATTTGGGATAGATAAATGTTGGTTTGATTCAGCTAGGACCATAGCTTTGGGTTATGAAAAGAGACTCAAGTGGATAAAATTTGGCCCTAAATTTTGTAGTGAGGTTAGCACTACCCTATGGGAAATGCAAAACACTCTTCGCTTATTCTAGTTTTGGAAAATGTCATAGGAAACACATTTAAAGTCCATTAAATGTGATTGGAGTTGACAAGACTCCTTCTGGTGAAAGGCTGGGTAAAGCAAGAACTGAAAGTTTCCCATCAGCTCAGACAACCTTAGTTAGTGGTTGATAATATGTGTTAAATTAGTCAAAATGGAGACAAAACTAGTGACCCCCTTGAGAGCCAAAATAGCTCCTTAATGAAAGAAATGGAGTTTAAAAATTATAATAGAATATTGGCTAATGTACATTTTGGAGATTATAAATTTGCAAAATCCCCTTATGTCATTATTAGTTGAAGTTGAAATTGCCAAATGGGCCCCTGGAGGTGCGATAGGAAGGCACATGTTGGAAGATCTGAAATCTTGCTCCCTCTCTGAAGGAAGGGTGGCTCGAGCCATGTGCGGCGTGAGCTGGAGGCTGGATAGGGTTGAGTAAACTTTGGGTTGGTTTTCTCACAGTTTTCGTTAATGCGTGTTGAGTGTTGTCTTTCTTTCTCTCCGATTTTCAGACACAGGGCCCTTGGGAGCAGTAATCCTCCAGCCAGGCTTTCTGAGAAGGTTCACATCCAAGTAAAACATGAATTTTCTGAGCCAATTTGATAGGCAATTGGTCTGATCGGAGCTCTTGTTTTGCCAACAGATAAAAATGAAGCTGGGAGTATTACAATACCCAGGGCAGGGGGAGGATTAAAGCTATCACAGAGACTAAGAGGCAGGCAACTTCACATAAGCAGAGGGTAGGGAGGTGTGAGGATGGGAAACCGCGTTCCCAGGAGTTGACAGGCAGCTGATGGTGGCTCTTTCATTACGACCTCACCACCAATCATTTAAGGAATTAGGAATTATGGCAGAGTGGTACGTATAATCCGTGAGATTTAGGCGCTTCTCCACATCATCCCTTCTGTACCCCCAGCACCTAGAACACACAGTAGGCCCTCAATACTGGGTACTATTGAGTGTTGGAAAGAGCACAGGGATGGTTTAGCGCAGCCCCTCCATCGCCATTTATAAGTTGAGAGGCCCTCGGTCCATTACCTAATTTCACAAAATGTTTTTCAATTTTTTTCTCCTGTAAAATGCAATTATTGTTTCTACCTAGTAGGGCTGTTTGGAGGATTAAACAACACAAAGAAGGTAAAATGCCTATCACAGTCACTCAATAAGTATTCCTTATTTTTATGATTACAAATTAAATAAATGAGTGATAATCATCAAAAGGCATCTGTACAATGTGCTAGGTGCTGTCCTAAGTGGCTAGAGGTTGATACTGTTGCTATCCTCACTTAATAGATGGAAAATACAGTTTTAGAGATGAAAAATAACCTTGAGGGAATGGCACATGGGACCTGTGGCTGAAAAGAGGCCCTAGGAATTCTGTGGCTGTCAGAAGTTAGACCTAGGAGTGGATGCGGGCTCTTGGGCTTGCTCCTTGACTGGATTCAGGCCCTCCTTGCATCTCAGACAGTCAGCCTCACAGACCTCAAGACTCTTCAGAGTGAGAATCCAATGAGCTGCCTGAAGCTGGTGCTCACCAAGAATTTATGGAAGTTTTTATTGCTATTTCCAACTGAGAACTTTTCTTCAATCATTTATGGAAAACATAAAAGCCAGTGGGAATCAACTAAGATAAAACAAGGTCAGAACCACTCTTCCAGATGCTGAGCACAGCTGGTTTTTGCTTAAGCAGTGGGAGCAAGAAAGAAGGATATTCATTGGCTATTTGGGTCAGAAACAGCACCTTAAAATATCTCCTCCATAATTCATCTCGTCCCAAATAGAATGTGGGGTCAAATTGCAGACCCTAAACCTTTTCATCCCTTCTCCTCCTCATTTTCTTCTTCTTTCTTCTTCTTCTTCTTTTTCTTATCTCATGGGATTGGTATGAAAAATAATAAGGATTTTATTCTGCAAAGGAAAAAAAATATCTCTCTGGTGTGGTAAATATCGCAATTCCAGAAACAAGCTGGAATGCACCGAGAGCTCCCTTATATGCCTAAATGCAGGCTGCTCTTCCTCTGCCTCTGTTTTACAGTCGGGGGAGCCATTGCCCTGGGAACAAAGAGGAAAATCGGAACAATCCTAATTTTAATATTCATAACTCATGAGCAGCCTGAAAGTTTTTTTTAATAAGTTAATGTTTGTCCTTTGAACTTTTAATACTCCTTTTACCCAAGGGGCTTTGGAGGGGTTTGAGAAGAGCCAACCAGCCAACATCACCCTTCCTACTCCATGACCCATAGATAGCGCCCTGCCTGGGAACTCAACAGAGAGAAAGCATCTGTCCATCCCACACTGGCTATCTCCAGGAGTCCAGAAGAGCATAACTCTTGCTGCCAGGAACAGATCGAAGGCTGCCAGTAATCCATGTGTAACTGTAGAAAGCAACACTGGTGGGGGTTAATACCAGATTGGCACAGTCACGTTTGGCATTCTCATATGCTGTTCATAACACAAATCCACCAGTCCTCCTTATGGGGAAACACCCTGGAATGGCCGGAAGAGACATACTGAGGCCCACTGCTCTGAAGCTTGGTATGGTGGTGGTGTGCTTGGGAGGAGGTATCAGGCACCATCTTCCTAATAGGAAGTCACCTGGACTAATCCCAGGGTCCCCGCCTCCTGAAAGCAGAGGAGAAAGCCTGGGTTTGTACTCCGATTGTCAGTGTGCCTAAGAGTCTAGAAGAGATTTCAGTGAGATGAAAGAATGATTATTTAAATGATACAAGCATTTGCTTTTAAAGTTGGGGAGAAGGAAAGCGTGGAATTTAAAATGCCCTTGAGTCTGCCCATGGGAAAGAGTTTAGGGAGTGGCACTGAGCAGAAAGGAAGGCTTTTAGGGGAGGACCAAAGGCTATTAGAGTTCTTTTTGGGAATGGTAATGAGCTATCGTAAAAGTGATGCCTGAGAAGAAAAAGCAAGAAGGGAGAAGTCTGTGATAGAAAGGTAAATGAGTCATTTGATGAGTAGAGTGCATCTCAATCTTCAGTGTGCATTAGAGTCAGGCGGAGGCAGGAAGGTGACTATGAAGTGCCTTTCCCTAGGACCTCTTGAGGCTCCAATGCAGTGGGTCTAGGCCATGGTTTGATCATGACATGAGCACTCTGCAAAGCACGCCTTGAAATGCACTAAATGAGATATCTAAGGACAGGGCGTAGAATCAAGAAACCCAGGAAAATTCCTAGTGGGTGCCTAGAATGAGTGGAGGGGGATAGTTGAAAGAGCAGCTCCTGAGGTGGTAGGTCCCTGTCTCCTAAGGACAGGTTTTAGTGTACAGGAGAGACTGGAGTCCCAGGGTGGACTGAGGACAGTGGAATGCCTGGGAGGCTGGGGTGTGGAATGCATGAGAAAGTTGCTCCAGGACTCCCTGCTCCCCCAGGGTGCAGATCATTTAATGGTCTGCAAATGATTTAACATCCCCCCAGTCAGGGTTCCCAGGGTAAATTGTCTCCATTCCCACCATAGAGGAGCTGTGCTGTCCAACAGCTAGCAGGCGGGGAGCCACTGTGCTGGGTGGGGTGCTTTGGCCAGAAAGTTGCTGGAAGTGGCACTGTAGCAATTATTGCTTAAGAACTAACTGTAATTATTAATTATGACCCTAACAACAATTGAGGTCCTGCATAATTCTTTCTGTGGGCTGCCTTTTGCCTGCGGAGTCTAATTTCTCAAACATCTCATTAGTCTTAAAATAGTTTTTTTCTATATAAAATTTTTTCTTCCAAAGTCAGTTGTACATATAAAAAAGGATTATAGTTGTATAAAAACAGGAGCTATAGAAATAGATTTATTTTTAGCCAAGAGGCAGCAATACTCAAGCTTTCCTTCTCAGTGCAGGGCTTATTTCTCTTTCTCTATTTAAATATTCAGATCTATTACTATATTGAACTGAGATTTGGTTTATTCTGGTAGAAGTAGCTAAATAAAGGTACATACTTAGAAACTCATAACTTCATATGTTTAAGTGCTGGAATAAGGTGTAAGTTAAAATTGGGCTTTTTGATTTTCACTGTAGATAGAGTTCAGAAATACTGTCATAGTTTTAAAAAATCAAAATGTTTTACCTCCGGGAGAAAATGAAAGTCTGTGATACAATAGATGGTGCTTGTGATTTTATTTAACAGTTTAATCTTTGCATACAAACAAAACCACCTGAAGAGAAGCTGGTTTCTTAAAAACAAGAGCAGCGAGTATGATAATAAATGCCCTGAACACATCTCTGCTCATCTTATGGAATCTCTTTGTGAATTCTCGTGTAGCTTTCCCTAATATGGAGCAGGGGGCTTTAAGTCACACTGCTGCTCCCAACTGCTGTGCCTAAATTGCTTCTGGAAGCACGGAGCCCCTCCACTGCTGCTGCAGATGTAGCTTTGGGCTGGGGAGAATGTGGGGAGAAGTCATTTGCATTAAAAAACACTAGCTGTCTATTCCCATTAGAAAAAACACTCGGTGTTTTAGTGCAAATTATTTTAAAAGGGCAGATAACTTATGGATGCAGAAAGGGTAATCCACAAAGATGTATGCAATTTTGTTCAGTTGATGTCCTCGGGGCGAAAACATCAAGGATAACAAGTGTACTAAATACAAACAGACACAATCATAAAATATGACACCCATGATTAAGATACCCTTTTCAAGGGTCCTTCGCACTTAGGAGGGAAACTGCCTTGTTAATATCAGGGCCCATTATTTCCTACCATTCAGAGGCAAGTTGAAACAATGATCTCTCCTTTTTTGACTGTATTCTTAAAAGGTTGTGAAATTCTGGGGCTTTAATCAGACTAGCCTAGAATCACAGCGCTGGGTCAGAGAGGGGATTAGTGTTGAGGGTTATGAGCTCAGTCTTCAGAGGTGGACAGATCCGGTTTTGAATCCCAGCTGTGACACTTAGATATCATCTTCTCTGAAGTCTAGGGGTCTTCATCTGCAAATGAGAAATTGAGATTGTTGAGAGGATTAAACACAACAAAACAAAACCAAAAACCCAGATGTAAAGTGCTTAGTGTAGTGCCTGGCATAGAAAAAAAAGAGTGTGTGTGTTTCCTTCCTGAGTGCCTGATTACAGAAAAGATGGGAGAATTTTAAAAATGCACTATTCGCTAATATATGAAGGAAAGAGGTTTTTATGGTTTAAGAAAAATTTGCACCAAGATCTTGGTCATTTTAGGTAGTAAGAGGACAATGGAAGCTCATAACTATTTGCGTTTGTGGATGGCACTGATACAATAACTGTTCATAGCCAACGCTTAGGCATATCTCTTTCATTTATCTAGTAAGTTAACAGTTCTTGTGCATTTGCTTGGTGCCAAGTGCCCTTTAAGTGCTTTATATGTGTTGTTTCATTTAATCTTCAAAATACCATCATGAGTAGGCACTAATACTGTTACAGGAGGTAGCCAGTCAGGCATGAGCAGGGCAGGAGAGGGCTTCCCCACCACCCTCACCAAAAATGTCAGGCAACCACCAGGTGATGGTCAGGCGGTTGTTAACTGTCTCTCTAAAATAATAGTTGTTTGCAGCCAGCACCAGGGAAAAGGCAGTCTCCCAATAAACACAAACACCTGAAACCGGGGATCAGCAGCTTCCTGATAACACATCAGGAGTTGGGCGAGTGGGCTCAAGCATGCGCATTAAGAGGCAAAATGGCGGAGCTTAACTGGTATATGACCTGCTAGGTACGTTCGACTAGTAAAAGAAGAGTGCTTCAAGTAAACATGCGTGCAACTCCAGTAAACACACTGCACAGGCTCCCCTCCCAAGTGCTGAGAGGCCACTGTGATTCTTCCCACCCCAGGGGAAGAATCAGGAGAGAAGGACACAAGACCCCCGAAGCATGCCAACATGGAAAACTGCAAGTCCAAAGGTCAAACCATGCACCTGATCTCTCATTGCCCACTTGGGCCTCTTCCAAGTGTACTTTATTTCCTTTTGTTCCTCTTGTAAACTTTTTAACAAACTTTCACTCCTGCTCTAAAACTTACCTCAGTCTCTCCTTCGGGCCCTCAGTTGAAGACTTTCTTCTGAGGAGGCAAGAATTGAGATGCTGCAGACTCGTATAGATTTGCAGCCACTGCTAACAATACTATCCCCATTCCACAGGGCAAGAAACATAGGAACAGAGAAGTTAAGTATTGATAATTTGTCCAAAGTCACAAAGCTAGTAAGAAATGGAACCTGTATTCAAATTCAGGCACTTATTCCAGAGTATGCTGTCTTCCCCCCCCCCCCAAATTTTTCTTTCAGCTTTCCAAGGTTGAACCGAGTCTACTTTCTTAACCACTATACTGTGTGTTTTATTTATTTGTATATCTCTCACAGCATCACAAATAGTGCCTTGCACCTAGAGGACAGTGAATATTTATCCAATGATTTTTTTAAAGAATGCAAGCCTTTGCTGTGAACGTGAGGGAGAAGTAAAGGGTTAAAGTGTTTGTATCAGATTTTAGAACAGTAAAGTCCAGTAGATAGATGGTATCTTACCAAAGAACAATGGCATAAAACTATTTATGGAGCCCTGTAGGCGGTGAGCAAGTGAGTGAACATGATTTAAGTCCTAAATTTGGAACCAGAAGAATACCAATAGCAAATGCATACTGGTTAATTATTTCCCTCTGCACAATACCTACAAAATCACCTAGAACATTAAGACCAGTGTAATCACTAAACTTTTGTGAAATTATCATGATCTCGTGGAAAGGCGACAGGGTTGGGTCTGACTAGACCTAAATAAAACATCAAATTCCACCTCTTCCCAGCTGTGTGACTTTGGGTACATTATTCAGCATCTTTGAGCCTTAGTATGTCCAATTTGAAAGGAAGGGGGTGTGTAATGAAAATACTAATTCCCAGCTTCCCAACATGAGATAAAGTATATGAAACTGTTGTGTTAATAAGGAAACACTGGAGAAATAAGCATTCTTAAGTAACATTAACTTTTACAAGAGAAAACTCCCACATATCTGCAGTGTGATGCAATAGACATTTTCTTTTTTTCCTTTTCTCAGAATGGGTCTTCCTAACTGGCAGGTAGGTAGCTCCAGTCTCTGTGGTAATTTAGAGACTGAAGCCCCTTTCATCTGTGGCTCCTCCACCTCCACGGGTTTGCTGTGGAAGGTGAAGAAGTGTGGAAAACTCCTGTAGGATGTTTCTGTGGACCAGAAAGTGACTCAGTCCCATGGCCACCACCATGTGCAAGGGATGCTGGGAAATGCCATCTAGGGATGTCTGCAGGCATAAAAGGAAATGGTTTTGGCCACTGACTGGCAATTCCAACTCCCAGTTTTTCACCAGGCTGTTGTAAGATTAAATGAGTGAAAGCAGAGGAGACAGCTCTGTAAATCATAAAACACTATGATATTATAGCCAATTCCTAATGTAGATGCCCAAACATAGGAATATTCCAAATAATAGAAATGTAAAGCTCTCATCCATTTGTTTTCTTAAATGCCAATTCCAAGAACAGTTTGCTAAGGCACATGGTGCCTGGTGACAGTCCCAACAGGTGAGCAGGCTGATGGCAATTCAATGTGATCAGGTAGAGTGGTCGTGGTCACACATGACTCCATTAGAGGCTGTTTGTTCTTGTGAAAGGCTTGCAAATTCATAGGACATTGGTCATTGACTACTGTGCAATAGACTTATCAGATAAAAAAAAAGCTGAATAGGAAATTTGGAAAGAAAAGCATAGCAAGGGCCAAAAATGATACAGATGAATCTTCATGAAAGAGCCATCGTGCCCTCTTCCCTTTCTATCTGAATGCGCTAACAACTTCTGAGGATAAGTGAATTTGCCATTCCTCCCTGTGCAATCAAGAAGGATTTCTCAGTGAAGAGCAATTTCATAGATTTTTCATTATAACATGATTTTTTTTGTTTGGGTCATCTTTAAGGAAGTGGATGTGCACTGAATATCCCAATTTTCCAGAAAAGAATTGTTAAGTGACATGTATTCATTTGTTTCCATCACTAAATGTTTTGCATTTCATTTGTAATATATTATTTTTGTTTTAAGGTAGATCCAGATGTATTCAGGGGATACAGGATGATTTTTTTTTTCTTTTTCTTTTTCTTTTTTTTTTTGAGACAGAGTCTCGCTGTGTCGTCCAGGCTGGAGTGCAGTGGTAGGATCTCAGCTCACTGCAAACTCCACCTCCTGGGTTCACGCCATTCTCCTGCCTCAGCCTCTCGAGTAGCTGGGATTACAGATGCCCACCACCACGTCTGGCTAATTTTTTGTATTTTTAGTAGAGATGGGGTTTCACTGTGTTAGTCAGGATGGTCTCGATCTCCTGACCTCATGATCCACCCGCCTCGGCCTCCCAAAGTGCTGGAATTACAGGTGTGAGCCACTGAGCCTGCCCTACAGAATGATTTTTAATACTTTTTTTGGTGGATTCCAATGATATATTATATAATATGTATATTATATAAAGAGTTTTCTAAGGCATACTCTTTTTAACTCCTTTATGTCACATATTATGTGCCATTCTTTACCTGGTAAAAGACCTTTTGTTCAATGATTATACTCTTTGGAGTCAACAGATCTAAATTCTGAAAATAAAGTTAAGCAAAATGGGCTATCAGGCCTTCTCTGACTACTTGATCTAATATAGTGCATCATCTTGACATTCTACTTGGGTTGCCTTATTTTTCTTCTTGGCCTAATATATATTTATGTGTTTATTGCTGGGCTCTACCTACTAAAACATAAGCTCCATGAGGGTAGGGATTTTGGGTGTCTTTATTCCCTATTGTATGCCTGGGCTATGGAATAGTGCCTGCTACCTAATGGATGTTCAGTGATATTGGTTAAATACATGCAAACATGAAAATTAGGTCTTAAATATCCTGGATCAATGATCTGCTGTATTACTTTTCCCCTCTATCTCAGGACTTTATTCCTCTAAAGCAGCATCTGAGAAAAACCACTTGTCTCTGCCCGGCCACTTCCATTTATGTTTGAGTGAAGCTCATGATGTTTCCATCTCCTGGCACAGAAGGGGAGCTACTCTCTGGTGTTGCTCCCCAGACCCAGCCTATTTAAGAGCTATGCTGTCTTTCCACATGGCTTGGACAGAATGAGGCATGGGAAATTACAGCGACAAGGATGAACTTCTAAGGATAAATAATTCTCACAGAAAAAGAGCACCGTGATCTTGGGTAGAGCATGGGGAAAGTTGGGAGAAGGATTTAAGGAATGGACAGTGCTTTACAGTTATTTAAAGTTTTTTCTTTTATTATCAAGAAAGAATAAATAGATACATAAATACATATATAGATAGTAGAACAGGATACAAACATTCCATTTCTTAAAAGAGTTACTAATAATTTTTTTGGAGAGAGAACTGCCTTTGGGAACGTCTGCTTGGGGCAGGTGAGACTCCGTAGACATGGACAGATGACAAGGATTAAGAAAGAGAGTTCACTGCTTTGAGGGAAGAGCTGGGTGAAGAGGAGAGAGAAGGAAAACTCAGTGACATGGCTGGACTAGGAGAGTGAGGGCCAGGAAGGCCCCATGGAGGTTGTAGCCGCCAGCCTTCAAGATGGCCCTGTTTCCTGGTATTCACACCCAGTATTCACACAACATAACTCTCTTCCATGTTGTACTGGGGCTGGTTTATGTGGCCAATTAGAATATGACAGGAATGGCAGTGTGGCACTTTCAAAATTAGGTTATAAAAGAGCATGGCTTCTTCTTGGGATCTCTCTCTGTGAGCAGCTGTGGAGAAGCTCATGTAGCAAGGATCTGAAGACTCTGGACGACAGCCAATAAGGAGCTGAATTCTGTCAGAAACTACATGAGTGATCTTGCAAGGAACTCCATTGGTGCTAGGTGAGTCTTGAGGTGATTACAGCCCCATGAGAGCCCCTGAGCCAAAACAACCTAGAGGAGCTGCTCCTAGATCCCTCAGGTAATACTTTAAT